GTGTGATGAGCAGCTTAGCTGGGGAGTGGGCCAGTGGTTAAGAATCCACCTTTGATCCCTGGCCCAGGGGCAGCAAAGCCCTTGTGCCACAACTGGGGAGTCCATGTGCCACAAGGAAGATCCTGCATGCCGCAACTAAGACCCAACGCAGCCAGATAAATAAATGGATGGATATTTCAAAAAAGCAGCAGCTTAGCTGGCTGATGGCACCTTAGGGCCAGTGTGCCAGCCCCCTTCCTCCCAGAAGGCAGGTGACAGGTGACTGGCTTCACTCCCCAAGGTGTACAACTAAAGACAGCTGCCTTTCAGCCTTCCCTTTGCCCCTGCCTCTGACCTCTGACCTCCAACCTCTGTCCATGCTTGTCCTTCAGCCCAGAGCCCCTCTCTCCTGCTCTCCTCACCCTTCGGGACCTGCAGCAACCCCTAGCCCTGCCGGGACCACCTTTGCTTCATGTTTCTACCTCATTTCCTTCACTTCTGTCTAGCACTGTTCCTTCTTACTCACATCTGATCCTGGTGCAGATGTGGCTGTTGGGTCAGCGGCTTGACTCCTAGAATACTTTAAACTCCTTTTTCTGATGATAAAAACAATCCTACACACCTCCTCAGCTAGAGTTTAGATTCCAGGGGACAGGAATGGTGCCTCCCCGCCCCTTTGTCCCACCCAGTCCTCCCAGCACGGGGCAGGCTGGGGCCATGGGCCGGGTTGAGGTGCTGAGACTGGTCTTTCTTGCAGACAAAGACCTGCGGACCACAGGCTTCAGCCTGGAGTCCTGCCGCAGTATGGTCAACCTCATGGATGTATCCTGCTGAGCAGGGCCCGGGGTTGGGACGTCGGCCTGGGAAGGGCTGTGGGTGACCCGTTCCAGGAGCAGCGTAGGGAAAAGGGCAGGTGTGGACGGGCCAGTTCCTTCTTCCTGGTGTCCTCCCCTTGAATGGGGGGAAAACTGAGGCGCAGGGTTGTGTCAAGTGACGGGGGAGGGCCTCATCCACAGGTGACCCCAAGGCTGGCGCTCAGTGAACGCCCCTCCCAGCCTACCCCGATTCAGGCCTGGCCTTGGGCGGCTCCTGCAGCTTCTCCGCTCCCCTTCTTTGGGTTTCTCTCCATGGCCAGTCTCCCCTCCCCTCGGTGCTCAGCACCCGTTCACCCGGTGTCTGGTTTAAGCTGTGGAGTTTTCTTCTTAACGGCCACCCAGCGGGACGGCAATGGCAAATTGGGCCTGGTGGAGTTCAACATCCTGTGGAACCGGATCCGGAATTACCTGGTGGGTAGTTCCTGCCGGCAGCACCCTCCCCTCTTCTGCGGCCTCAATCACAGTGGGCGGCGGGCCTCCGGTTCCCGGACCGGCTGTGTGGTTCCCAAGCCCTCACCCTGGCTTCTGCCTTTCTGAGCCCACGTGTCCCAGCGGCTCACCCCCTCTCCCCCCACCCTCAGTAACCCTCCACACTGGCTGGATGGGAAGGGCTGGATGCTTACCGAGCCCTCACCCTCTGCCCCCCACCCCAGTCCATCTTCCGGAAGTTTGACCTGGACAAGTCTGGCAGTATGAGTGCCTACGAGATGCGGATGGCCATTGAGTTTGCAGGTGAGGCCTGAGGGCGGGCAGGACCTGTGGAGCCCCCAGGGAGATGGCCCCGGGTCACTTCCCTGATAGCTCCAAGGGCAGTGGCCCACCCATGGGGGCAGGGGAGAGGGGGCAGGGCAGGGGTGTTGATGGCAATGGTGGTGAAGTGATAACAGCCATCTAACTGCCTTTTTCTTCTGGTGACTATCATCAGCATTTCTTTTTGTCCTCACTGCAGCCTGCTGAGGATAGGGTCTTTTATTATCTCATTGAGCACAGAGAAAAGTGCCTGCTCAGAGAGGGGAAGTGACTGGCCTGGAGCCACACAGCCGGGGAGAAGTAGAGCTGGCCTCCAGGGGCTCCAATGGGAGCCGTGCAGGGCTCACCCTCACAGTCCCACTTCAGGATGAGGCCAGGGGTTTCCGAGCAGATGAAACTGGACCTGTAGGCCCTGATGGCCAGCTCCTGGGTGGGACATACTGGGTCCTCAACCTTTCTCTGGGCCAGCACTTGCCCAGGACCCCCCACCCAGGGTTCACCCCGCCCAGCCTTCCATCCCCCTTCCTGCACCTCCTGGTGCTTCACCTGCTCTCCTGGGCCAGGCTTCAAGCTCAACAAGAAGCTGTACGAACTCATTATCACCCGCTACTCGGAGCCCGACCTGGCCGTGGACTTCGACAACTTCGTGTGCTGCCTGGTGCGGCTGGAGACCATGTTCCGTGAGTGTCCCCGTGGGCGCCCCCTTCCCATGGGGGTCTCGGGGAGTGGAGCTGGGGGTCCACACAGGCTGATTGCCAGGAGATGAGGCGTAGGGAGGGAACTCTGGAGGGGGCTCTCGGGCAGCAGGGGGAGATGCTCCCCGGCTGTGAGGGTACGAGAGTTTGGGGTGCCGTGGGGAGGTGGAGGGTGAGGCGGGAGGTGGGGCCAGCCCTCGAACTGAGTCCTCCTCCCACCTCATCGTTTCTTGAACACACAGGGTTTTTCAAAACTCTGGACACCGATCTGGATGGAATGGTGACCTTTGACTTGTTTAAGGTGGGGCTCTCCTCTGGTCGGATTCGGGAAGGGCTCAGGGGCAGTGGGTTTTTCTCACCCACCCCTCACCCCATGGCGGTGGGGGAGGGCTGGAGCCTGCAGCCTCAGAGTCAGCCCTGAGGCTGGCCACCTGCCTTCTGCAAGGACACAGCAAGGATCTCTGGTTTCTGAGGGTGGGGGCAGGGAGGCCCAGGCCCCTGGAGGCCTGCACTGGAGCCAGCAGCCTGGGCCCCCAGGGGTGGAGGAGGTAAGAGTGGCCTCCTCCCCAGGAGGCTCCCTCCCCCTCCTGCCCTGACGGGGGGAGGAGACGGCAGCCCCTGAGCCATGGAGCTGGGAGGCTGGACCTGGGGCTTCTGCCCTGGCCGACCTCTCTCTATGCCCTCTGCCTGGCAGTGGTTACAGCTGACCATGTTTGCATGAGGCGGGGGCTCAGGCCCCCTTGCTGCGCTCCTGTCCTCCTCGTCCGCCAAGCCATGCCTTCCTGCGACGCCACACCAGCTGCAAGTGCCTTCCTTGGAGCAGGAGGCGGCCTCAACCTCCTGTCCCCCCACCTCTCAGCCGCCGCAGCTCATTTGCTCTGGGCAGAGCCAGCTCTGCAACAGTCTGCAGTCTAGACCTGTGGAGCCCCCTCCCAGCTGGGGCCCCCTCCCCAGGACTGGGAACACGTGTTCGTGCCTGTGCGGAAGCCAACGCTCCCCTCTGCCCCTGTCCCTGCCAGCTGGCAAGAAGCCGCCTAGCCTGGGGGTGGTCAGACCTTCCCTCCCTCCCTCCCGCTCTCCTTTTTTATATTGGTGATTTTAAAGGGGACTCTGTGGGGACTGAGTGAGGGGGGTACCAGAGGCACCTGGGGATGGGGTGGGAGGCGTCTCATGTTTACATACGGAGAAACCCCGAACAATAAAGGCAAAGACCCCACTTTTGTCTCTGGAGTGTGTGTCTGCCTAAACCCGCTGGCCCACAAGGGCACCTGGTCCTGCACCCACCCCTGCCCTGCCCTCTGTCTCCTTCCCCATCGCCCCAGTGGCTGGCACCTCTGCTAGAGTCCTGGGCATCTGGGGGGTGGGGGCGGGGATGGGGCCACACTGCTGAGGTCCCACGTGGCCCTGCTGGTCCTCCATGCCCCCCTCCTCTAACCCTGACCCCTTCCTTCCCTGCATGTTCTGCAGGGAACATGAGGCTCTGGCTGAGACCCAAACCCCTACTTAACACCAGCCTGACCCCCAGGAAGCTCCCCAGAACACAGAGCCTCCTGAAAGCCTTCTTGAGGCTGGGGGAGGGGAGTTGCCCCTGTGACCCAGACACCTGCGGCTTGTATAAGCTGTTCCGGTCCTCCTGGGATCCCAGTTCTTCTTACCAGAGATAAGAGTAGGTTGAGTTGGGGGTAGAGGAGGGGCTGGGGGGAGCTGCAAACTAGGGCAGCACCTGCAGGGCAGAAACTGACAGGGCCAGGTAGAGGGTGGGGACTGCCCTTGGCCCCGGGAGCCCCAGGCGGAGCCCTGAGTGGCAGACGGGGCCTGGAATCTGCATTTTGCCTTTGGGAGTCCATGGGCCGGTTCGCTGGGTCTCATCAGTAAGGGGAGTGGCCCATCATTTCCTGGGCGCCGGGGCTGGTTTGTGAGAGGGGGCAGGTGGAGGGCCCCATCCTCTTGGTTCTCTGTAGTGGGTTTTCTTTGATGAGAGGCTGGGACACTGGGTGCCCAAGCCTGGAGGCCCTGCCCCCTCACCCACCCCCAGGCTGAGGGTGCCTGGGGTGGAGGCAGGGAGAGCAGGCCTTCCTCTTGGTTGCCTAGTTTGGGCTTTTTTTTTTTTTTTCCAAAAGTTTGGGCATTTTTAAAGGACTTTTTTCTGAGTATCTCCTGTGCAGCCCCCGACTTCCAGGAAAATGGGTGAGAGGCAAGCAGCAATAATCTCTGGCACCCCCTTACATGATCTCCAAGCTTTTAAGGCTCTGGCCTCAGGGGAGAGCAGTGGCAGGCCTGGGTCCCGTGTGCTGAGGCTGGAATTAGCCTCCTGAAGATGCCTCACTGCGGCCTCCAGAGAGAAGGGGAGGGTGACGCTGGTGCTGCATTTACTGTCAGCACCGCCCCCCACCCCCCCATGAGGGCCGTGGGCAGGGGGCTGGGCCTGCAGATCTGGGCAGGGGGCTGTGAGGCGGCCCCCTGGGACCCCTCGCTTTTCTAACCCAGGAGGTGAGAGATTAGGAGAAAGGGCCTGGCAGGAGGGAAGCCTGCAGACGTGGGGACGCCCCAGGCCTCCTGTGAGGTGTAACCGGACCCCTGTGAGTTCCGGACATGGGGCATCTGCGGTCCTAACCCCAGCCTGTTCCTCCACCTCCCAGGGCCCTGTCCCAGCCCCTTTACTTAAGGCTCCACACCTGGGCCTCAGGTCAGGCCCGGGGCCATGGCCTTCACAGACCTGCTGGATGCCCTGGGTGGCGTGGGGCGCTTCCAGCTGGTCTCCACGGCCCTGCTGCTGCTGCCCTGCAGCCTGCTGGCCTGTCACAACTTCCTGCAGAACTTCACGGCCGCCGTGCCCCCCCACCACTGCCAAAGCCCTGCCAACCGCACTGCGGCCGCCGTCTACGGCTCGGAGGCCTGGCTGAGGGCCACCGTACCCCTGGACCCGCTCGGGGTCCCCGAGCCATGCCGGCGCTTCACACAGCCTCAGTGGGCCCTCCTGAGCCCCAACGCCTCTGTCCACGGGGCAGCCACGGAGGGCTGCAAGGACGGCTGGGTCTACAACCGCAGTGTCTTCCCGTCCACCATCGTGACGGAGGTCAGGAGGAGCCAGGGGCTGTGGGGCTGGTGGGGGCTGCAACCCAGGCCGAGGCTGGAGCATCCCTCCCTCCCCCGCAGTGGGACCTGGTGTGCGAGGCCCGCACCCTCCGTGACCTGGCTCAGTCCATCTACATGGCCGGGGTGCTGGCAGGCGCCGCTGTGTTTGGCAGCCTTGCAGACAGGTGAGCCTTCAGGGGCAAAGGTCTCCCCAGTCTATCCATTAACTTTTCTTTATTAAAGTTTATTTTAAACCAAATTTTAAAATAATATGTATTTTAATGTATTTAATATGTATGTAAAATGCATATTTTAAAGTAGATATATGTATTATATATTGTATTATATAGTTTATTATAATACATAGAATACATTCACATGGTTCAAAATTCCAGAAGGTACAAGTGGGTATGCAGGCCAGCGTTCTCCCCTCTGCCCTGCGCTCCAGTAACCCCTCTAGGGCAGCCTGGTTTCTGTGTATTTCACAGAGATGTTTTACGATTTTGTACCATCCAAGGCTGGGCGAGCTGCAGTCCATGGAGTCGCAGAGTCAGGCACGACCGAGCGACTGAACAACACCAGTCCGAGAGAGCACGTGCCTGCGCTCCATCCCCCTTGTCTATACAAACGCGGGCACAGCCCACATACGGTTCTCTATCAAGATTTTATTTTACTTCACTCGTGGCCTCTGCGCGTTGCTTCAGACACTGCGTGTCGCCTACATCCAGGCTGCACCCCACTGTGTGGGTGAGCCACTGCTGACCATACGGGTCCCTGAGGATACAGAGACACCCCGAAATGCAGCACACACCACGGCTCTGATGGAGTTGGCTCCTTCCTGCCTCTGTCCTCTTTCCCTTCCCTCCCTGCTTCGCCTCCCCTTCTCTCTCTCTCCCCCTCTCCTCTCCCCTCCCCACAGCCCCTCCTCTCGATCTTCAGGTTCTGGGGTCCCCTGGACTGCTGTGTCTTAGGCTTAGTGTCTTCTTTGTTACCAGCCCCCAGCTCAGACCTACCGCTTAGAGGTCACCAATGGACATCTGTGCAACAGAATCAATGAATGAATGATGGAATGAATGAGTGTAACATGCGGTGTGTGAGCAAGAAGGGCTGCCCACCTGGACAAGCTAGGGCTCCAGCCCTGGACCCTCACTTACAAATGAGGAGATGCCAAGGCCCTGTTTCCCTGGCCTTGGACTCCTTTACACTATAACAAACCCCACCTCACCCTGGTCCCCCCAAAATGACCAATTCCAATGAAGACCTGGGGTCCTGTTCCCATCAGCCTGGGCCCCCTCGAGGGCTCACACCCCCATGAGTTCTGGTTGGAGGGCTACCCCCGAACAGAAAGTCACTCAAGGGACCCTCTCATAACCCTCTGCACTCGCTTCTGGCCTCTGCAGAATCGCTGCCTTCCCCCAAATCCTGGGAGAGTGGGGGCTTGGTCGGGAGCTAGAATTCTTCTTGAGTGAAAGAACGAAGGCGGGAAGGTGTGTCTTCATCCCCGCTTTCCTTCCACACCGTGTTCTCCCTCCCTGGCCTTTGCCGGTGCCTGGGCCCCAGTGAGTGCACTTCTGTTCGGATGAGTGGCTTTCAAACTGGGGGGTGAGGGGGGTGGGGGTAAGTAGCTTCCTCTCATCCTCCCTCCATGACAGCCATGGGGGAACTGCTGCCACCTCGGAACCCTAACCCTGTGCCCGTGGCTGGGCTCAGGCTGGGCCGCAAGGCCCCCCTGGTCTGGTCATACCTGCAGCTGGCAGTTTCGGGGGCGGCCACGGCGTACTTTGGCTCCTTCGGCGCCTACTGCTTCTGCCGGTTCCTGATGGGCATGACTTTCTCCGGCATCATCCTAAACTCGCTCTCTCTGGGTGAGTCCAGCCATGGAGGGGCCTGGAGGGGAGGGGGCTTGCAGGGGCAGGAGGGCGGTGGCAGCCCCATTGGTGGGCATCGTTCCCATTTCCTTATGGTGGGATTCTCATCCAGTGACCTCAACTCACAGCCTCCCTCCGGGGTTCCCAGGAGACCTGGGCTCTCAGCGGTGGCCCTGCCAGCAGCGAGCCAGGGACCCTGGGTTGAGATTTGCCTGTCTGCGAGCTGTGAGGGTTGGGTTCACTTCTTGTGTGAATTAGTCAGCAATAACCACTTACAAAGGACCTACTGTGTGCCAGGCTCCTGTGGGGCTTAGTGTGGGGACATGGAAACAAGGTGAGACACAGGGGTCCCCGGGGTGGGCGGCAGGCACCCCAAAACTATGTGGATCCAAAAGAGGTGAGGCTTCATCTTGAGGGCACTGGTGGCCTGGCCTCCTGGGTGCCAGGTGGGAGTGTCCCCACCCCACAGTGACAGGGTCAATTGCCACTCCAGGCTGGTTCCAGGCAGCTCCCAGAGGCTCTGACAGAGAGCTGTGTGGGCAGAGGAAGCCCACCCTGGACGCACGCCCACCCCGTGCCTCTAATTACTTGGTTTGCTGGGGTCTTCTATCCCAGGGTAGTGGGGAATCTTGGGGCTGGAGAACCAGGCTGCTCCAGGTCACATTCTGGTCACCTCTCCTCTCCACATCCAGACATTGAAGGGTGCTGAGCTCATGGTGGGATCTCAGCAAACCCCAGCCCACCCGCCTCATTCTTCAGGGTGGGCGTCCAGCCATGGCTTGTGGAATCTAAAGGCATAAACAGTCGTCCAAAATCCATCTCCTGCTAGAATCACTTGCATAATATACACACCTACACACACACACAGAGACCATATACACACACCCTGACATACACACATGCACACTTCTAACCACAACACACACCCCTACACAACAATATACACACACCTCTACACATACACATGGACTCCTAACCATAACACACACACCTATAAACACATACTCCTACATACAGACACACACACATGCTCCTAACCAATACACACACACCATACACACTCCTAACCACAAGACATGCACCATATACACACATCCCTACACACACACACACACACACACACACTTCTAGGTGTGGGAGATGGCAGACAAGTAGATCCTGCTCTATAGAGCCCGTGTTCTCCTGCAGGAAGACAGATAAACAACACAAATAAGCAAACTGCATAGTGTGTTAGAAGGTGATAAGTGCTACAGAGGAAAACAGAAACGGGATGAGAGCGGCCAGGCGAGGGGGCCAGGCGGTGGCGGCCTGAGGCGGAGAGAGCCTGCAGTTTTATTGGCTCAGGGCAGGCCTCGCTGAGAAGGGGTCACTTTGACCAAAGCTTGAGGGAGGTGAGGGAAGGGGACCTGTGGCCACCGAGGGAGAACGTTCCAGACCAAGGCCGTGAGGCAAGAGTGTGTCTAGTGGATTCAAGAGCAAGGAGGAGGTCCTTGTGGCTGGACAGAGCTGAGGTGGATGACAAACAGGGCTGGGGTGACAGTGGCAGGTCCTTAGACCTGGTGGCCTTGAAGGACGTTGGCTTTGACTCTGGGTGAGGGGGGAGCCTCGGGAGGGTCCTGAGCGGAGGACAGGCCTGACTTGGTCCCACTTGGCATCGGCCAGGACCCCTCAGGCTGCCATGCAGCTTGAGGACGGGAGCAGGAAGGCCAGTCTGAGGCTTATCCATCACCTGGCAACAGGCGAGGCTGGAGTGGGCCAGGGGGCAGCACAGCGGGAGGCAGGAAGGCTCAGGGTCTGGTTTGGTTCTGCAAGGAGAAGCCACAGGATTTGCCAATGGACTGAACACACAAGCTGGCTGCTGACTGAAAGCAGCATCCTCTTCCGTTTATTCTGGTTGTTTTGTGAGAGTGTGCATGCTCTATTTCACCAGGCCCCCACAGAAGGACATTTAAATTGTTTCCAAGTTTTTCTATTTGCAAAAAATCTTGTATTTAAGAGAGACTTCTCTGGTGGCTCAGATGATAAAGAATCTGCCTACAGTGCAAGAGATCCGGGTTCGTTCAATCCCTGGGCCAGGAAGATCCCCCGGAGGAGGGAATGGCAACCCACTCCACTATTCTTTCCTGGAGAATTCCATGGACAGAGGAGCCTGGCAGGCTATAGTCTCGAGGTCACAAAGAGTTGGACATGACTGAGCAACCAACACAGACACACATATGTAATTAAGAGTCATTATATTCCCTTTTCAACATCCTTTGCCCATTTTTTCCTTTTGGCTAGTTATTTTCCTTTTGGTTAGTTGTTTTCCTATTGATCTGTAAGAATTCTTCCCAGATTAGGGAAATTCACCCTTTGTTATTTGAAATGGTACTTTTTTTTCCCTATCTTTTTTGCTGAAATTATGATTCTGCTTACGATAGGTATTTTTTTTCAGCAGATACTTCTTATTTTTATGAAGCTCTTTGTTGGTCTTTCTTTTTGTTGTTTCTGGGTTTTGTGACATTCTTGGAAAAGCCTTTCCAGGCTCTAAGATCGAAAAGACATCTAGCATGGTTTCTTCTAATATTGTTGTGGTTTTATTGTTACGTTTAGTTCCTTTTTAGTATGTATTCATTTATTTTTGGCTGTGCTGGGCCTTCCTTGCTGTGCAGGGGCTTTCTCTAGCTTTGGAGAGCGGGGTTATTCTCTAGCTGCAGTGTGCAGGCTTCTCACTGCAGTGGTTTCTCTCATTGTGAGCACAGGCTCTAGGCTCAGGCTTCAGTAGTTGTGGTGCACAGGCTTAGTTGCCCCATGGCGGGTGGAATCTTCCTGGACCAGGAATTGAACCGGCGTCCCCTGCCTTGCAAGGTGGATTCTTAACCCTGGACCACCGGGGAAGCCCTACATGGAGTTCTTTAGTCCACCTGGCACTTGTCTAAGGGTAAGGACTGAGGTTGGGACACCTTTGCCCATGCTCAGTGCCTCTCTGGAATGATTTCCAGTGGCCACAGAGTCATCCTAAAAGAGCGGGGGGCGAAGGGGGGGCTTGAATTAAACACCCACGTGAGCAACAAGCCCCACTGAGCCTGGCGTGGTTTTCTCCGCAGTCGTGGAGTGGATGCCCACCCGGGGCCGGACCATGGCGGGGATCTTGCTGGGGTACTCGTTCACCTCGGGTCAGCTCATCCTGGCGGGCGTGGCGTACCTGATCCGCCCTTGGCGGTGGCTGCAGTTTGCCGTCTCTATCCCCTTCCTCGTCTTTTTCTTCTACTCTTGGTATGTCCTGAGCAGAAAGGGCTGGGGCAGAGTGCACCTGTATAGCCAGGTCCTCACCTGTCCCTGGGGGAGCCTTGGGGTGGGCAGCGACTGGAATCTGGGGGACGTGGTGGGGACATGAAGGAGTGAGGACATGGGCTCACGAGGATTATGCATGGCTGTGGGCAGGTTCAGGATAGAACCCCTTATATTACTGTGAGGCTCCAGAACACACCAAGAGCTTTGCCTTCATCAACTCCTTTGCACCTCACAACAACCCCGGAGCATTTTATAAGAGGAGTGCTGAGGCAGCCCAGGTGGATCCATGACTTCGTCAAAGCCACATACTGGGAGAGACTGGGATTGACATATACACCCTGCTGCTGCTGCTGCTAAGTCGCTTCAGTCGTGTCCAACTCCGTGCGACCCCATAGATGGCAGCCCACCAGGCTCCCCCTTCCCTGGGATTCTCCAGGCAAGAACATTGGAGTGGGTTGCCATTTCCTTCTCCAATGCATGAAAGTGAAAAGTGAAAGTGAAGTCGCTCAGTCATGTCCGACTCTTAGTGACCCCATGGACTGCAGCCTACCAGGTTCCTCCGTCCATGGGATTTTCCAGGCAAGAGTATGGAGTGGGTTGCCATTGCCTTCTCTGATATATACGCTACTATATATAAATTAGGGCTTCCCGGTGGTTCAGCTGGTAAGGAATATGCATGCAGTGCAAGAGACCCAGGTTCAGTCCCTGGTTCAGGAAGAGTCCCTAGAAAAGGGAACGGCTACCCACTCCAGTATTCTTGTCTGGAGAAATCCATAAACAGAGGAGTCTACAGTCCATGGGGTTGCAAAGAGTCAGATGTGACTGAGCAACACACTTTGACTTTTTTTTCATATATAAAATAGATAACCAATAAGGACCTACTGTATAGCATAGAGAACTCTACTCCATACTTTGTAATGACCTATATAGGAAGAGAATCTAGAAAAGAGGGGATTTAGGTATATGTATGACTGGTTCACTTTGCTGTTATAGCAGAGAGTAGCACAACATTATAAATCAACTATACTCCAGTAAAAATTTTAAGAAAAAAAGAAAATTAACTACAACAAACAACCAAAACAAAACAAGCAAAAAAGCCACCTACTGGGGTCAGAACCAGGTTCAAAACTAGATCTGTGGATACCTGAAGGTCCATGTCGTCTCTAAGTACACTGCAGAAATTCTCTGAAAGATGTGCTGCAAAAAAGGGAGGCCACGTGTCCCCCAGTCTTCCCAATTCTGCTGACAGCAAGGGTTTTTCCTTTTTTCTGAGGTCTGGAAGGTGAAAGAGGGTGTACTCTGGTTTGAGGAACGGCATGAGTACCACTCAATCCATTCAGTGCCCCAGTGGCCATCACAGGCCATCACAGTGGCCATTTCAGTGCCACTCATTCTCCATCCTTCTCTTGGTCCCAGGTGGCTGCCAGAGTCATCTCGATGGCTCCTCCTTCATGGCAAGTCCCAGGTAGCTCTGAAGAACCTGCGGAAGGTGGCTGCGATGAACGGGAGAAAGGAGGAAGGGGAAAGGCTGACCAAGGAGGTAGGCAGGTCTGGTGCAAGTTAGGGGAGCACTGGTTTCAGTCTTGCTGGCAGCCTCAAGATGTGCTAGGATTTGGTGACTTTCCAGGACTCATCATCCAGGTGAACAGGCTGAGAATAAGCAGAGCGGGAAGAGCTCCAGTGGGGCAAAGATGTTTAACCACTGAATGGCACTGTAATCTGGGGTACATCATTTCACTTCTTTGTTCATCAGTCTATCTATCCGTGGGATGGGGAAATAACCCATTCACATTTAGCCAAAAATTCAATAAAATAAAATAAAAATCTTAAGATGAAATTTCAAATGATCAATAATAAAAGTACCATTTACTATGCATACCATTTATGATAAGATAGCTACCATTTATTATAAATAAATACATTTATTGAGCCAGTTGTTCAGTACGGTGCTAAGGGCTTTAAGTGCACAATCTCATTTAATGCCTCACTTTTTTTTTTTGTTGGCTGCTCTGCGCAGCTTGCAGGATCTCAGTTCCCCAACTGGAGATTGAACTGGGGCCATGGCAGTGAAAGTGCCAAATCCTAATCACCGAACCACCAAGGGATTTCCTAATGTCCCACTTTTAAAGATGAGGAATCTGATGTTTGGATTACCAAGTCACCCAACCCTTTGGATCCAGAGGGAACAGACAGGGAAAGAATAACTTAGGCAATCTGCTTAAGAAAACACAACAGGAAGTGGCAGAACCCCTGGGAACCCAACTTCTTAACCACTGGCTGAGACTCTCTCAGAGCTGATGCCAGGAGTGGGGCCTGAGGGTGCCCCTGGTTATTTCAGCCTAATCAGTAGGCAGCCCAGGAGTCTTGGGACTTGGGTTGGAGCCTCTGCTTCACCTCAAAGCCCTGGAACTAGCCTGGGGAGGCGACAAGGGTCAACCATCCTGCCAGGGCTCTCGACCTTGGCCCTCCCCTGGGAATAAGATCGCAGATCCCGCCCTTCCCCTGATCAGACTTTCCTTGCCCAGGTGGTGAGCTCCTACATCCAGAGTGAGTTTGCAACTGGTCGCCCCTCCAGCTCAGTCTTGGACCTCTTCCGAACCCCAGCCATCCGTAAAGTCACGTGCTGTCTCATGGTGGTCTGGTAGGTATTGGACTCCCATCCAGGACTTTGACCCAAGGCCAGGACATGCCAGTGTCCCCACTGACAAACTCTTAAATACTTAATGCAATGAGCAGAAGGGTCTTGTGAAGTCAGTCCTGTTCCCCACGCTTTCTCCCATGTCTTCTGAGCATCAGGGTCCTCTGGGATGGACCCTGCTGGTTGCTGAGACCTGGTCATGCATAAGATATCCCTGCTGACCTAGGGAACCCACATCTGGGGATGGGTCTCACCCAGCTGGGGACACCGACTGAAAGCAGCCAGGCAACTTGAATATACCTAGTTGCATCCTGATATGCCTCCAGGGGATTCTGGGAAGTTCCTCACTCTGGAAAAACACTTGCATCCCTGTGCCCTGCAAATGTGGGATTTTCCCCTGCACTGAGCCTTCAGAGGGTTTCTGCCCCAAAAGTGTTGCCTGTGAGGCCGTTCTGGGCCTGCGCAGCCAGAGAGCTCCTCAGGACCCAGGTTCTGGGAATACTTTCAGCTAGGGAGCTCATGTTCTCATAGGCCACTCCTTATATTCCCCACTTTCTAATCCCCAGTTGAGCAAATGCGTTATTGAGCAAAGGATATGAATGGAAAACAGTTAGTTTTTGACTGGGTGTCCCTCAACCCTCTCAACAGTCACTTTAGTTTTCACAGACTGTATTAGTTTCATCTTGCTACGTAACAAATGACAAAAACTTAACAGCTGAAAACAATACCATTTTTTTTTCATTAATTGAGTTTCTTTAATGAAATATTAAAGATACAGAAGTACATTTGAAGTCTTAAGAAATACCCAGGTTCAATAAACTAACAATGTTTAAGCAACAATTTCCCCCTTTTTTAAATTTATTCATTTTTTAATTGAAGGATAATTGCCTTACAGAATTTTGTTGTTTTCTGTCAAACATCAACATGAATCAGCCACGGGTATACATATGTCCTCTCTCTCTTGAACTGCCCTCAAAACAACACCATTTGTTTAAAGTTTAGTTTGCTGAACTATAGTTGGTTTACAGTGATTTACAAGGTTGTGTTCGTTTCTACTGTATAGCAAAGTGACAGTTATATTACATATATATGCATTCTTTTTCACATTCTCTTCTCTTATGGTTTATCACGAGGTACTGAATATAGTTCCCTGTGCTATACAGTAGGACTTCGTTGTTTATCCATCCTATGTGTAATAGTTTGGACCTGCTAATCCCAAACTCCCAATCCAGCCTCCCCCTCTTCTCTTCCCCATGGCAACCGCAAGTCTGTTCTCTACGTCTGTGAGTCTGTTTCTATTTCATAGATGAATTCCTTTGTGTCATAATTTAGATTCCACACAATACCCATTTATGAGCTTATAGCTGTGTAGGTCAGAAGTCCAGGCATAATATGGTTGAGTTCTCTCTTCAGGATTTTCTGACAAGGCTAAAATGAAGATGGTGGGCAGGCTGCATGGGAAGAATTCACTTTCAGATTCATTCAAACTGTTGGCTGCATTCAGTTCTTTGTTGTTGTTGTGGGACTGACAAGTTCATTTCTCCACAGGCTGTTAGCCAAGGGCCACTCTCAGGTCACTGAAGCCGTTTATATTCCTTGCCATACGGCCACCTCCATCTCAATGGAGAATTTTCATCACAGCAAATCCTTCTCACGTTTCGAGTCTCTGGCTTCCCCACCTTTGACCTCTAAATCCAGAATTAAAGGATTTCTATGACCAGGTCAGGTTCACCCAGAAAAATCTGTCATTTTTTCCTCTCTCTTTTTTAAAATTGAAGTATATACCTGATTTACAATGCTGTGTTAGTTTCAGATATACAGTAAAATGATTCAGTTATACATTATCTTTTTTTTTCAGATTCTTTCCCCTTATAGTTTATTTAAAAATATTGAGTATAGTTCCCTGTGCTGTACAGTAGGTCTTTGTTGGTTATCTATTTTGTATATAGTAGATATGTATGTTAATCTCAAATTCCTCCACTTTTCCCTATAAAAACTGTGAGTTTGTTTTCTATGTCTGTGGGTCTTTCTGTTTTGTATATAAACTAATTTGCATCATTTGTTAGATATCACATATAAGTGATATCAAATGATATTTATCTTCTCTGTCTTACTTCACTTGATGTGATAAACTCTAGGTCCTTCCATGTTACTGCAAATGGCATTATTTAATTCTTTTTATGGCTGAGTAATATTCCACTGTATAAATATACCACATCTCCTTTATTTTATTTTAAAATTTTATTTATTCATTCTATTATTTTGATCTTGGCTGCACCGAGTCTTCATGGCTGCAGGGGCTTTCTCCAGTTTCGGAGAGCTGGGGCTGCTCTCTAGTTGCGGTGCACAGCTTCTCACCGCAGTGGCTTTTCTTGTTGTGGAGTACAGGCTCTAGGACACGTGGGCTTTAGTATGTGGCGCACAGGCTTAGTTGCTCCACGGCATGTGGAATCTTCCTGGACCAGGGATGGAACCCACGTCCCCTGCACTGGCAGGTGGATTCCTAACCCCTGCACCACCAGGGATGTCCTACCACTTCTTTATCCATTCATCTGTCCATGGACATTTAGGTTGCTTCCATGTCTTGGCTATTGTCAATAATGCCCACAAGAATTACTATCACCTTTTCCTGAAGTCTGTTCTCCTTTCTTCCATCTTCACTGACTCACACGGCTGGGGCTAACCGGGAGGGATGGCAGGAGTTTCTCAGTAAGTGGTTTGGGGGCTGATGCTGGGCCCTGGTAGGAGAGAGCCCACTGCCACTTTCTGTTTTTCCACTTCCCCTCTCCCTACACTCCTGGGTCTGTGCCAGCACGTCCAAACAGAGAAACAAGACCTATGCGGGTGGGTCATGAGGGCCCATCTCAAGCCCCTTCCTCAGGGACATTTTATTTTGTTCCACTTCCAGAAAGTGTCATAAAATACACATAACATAAACTTTAGTATCTTAACCATTTTGGGGGGCCATGTCACATGGCATGTGGGATCTTAGTTTCCAAGGATCAAATCTGTGCCGCCTGCAGTGGAAGTGCAGAATCTATACCACTGGACCACCAGGGAAGTCTCAGCATCCTAACCATTTGTAACTGTGCGGTTCAGAAGTGTTGAGTACCTACAACATTATTGTACCACCATCAGCAGAACTCTTTTCATCTTTCAACGCTGAAACTCTGTACTTATTAAACAATATCTCCTCCATTCCTGCTCCCCCCAGCCTCTGGCAACCTGCATTCTACCCTCCATGTCTGTGAACTTGACTACTCTAGGGGCCTCCCGTAAGTGGAATCATACGATATTTATCTTTTTGTGAGTGGCTTATCTCGCTTAGTAAAATGTCCTCAAGGTCCATTGGTGTTGTAGCATGGTCAGGATTTCTGCCTTTTTCAGGCTGAGTCATTGCGTGTGTAGACCACTTGTTGTTGATGGACACCTGGCTTGCTTCCACCTTTTGGCTGTTGTGAATGATGCTGCTATGAACATGGATGTACAAGTAACTCTTTGAGACATTGTCTCAGGGACCTTGTAAGTTTCTGTGGAGACCCCAAGTGTTGCAACTCCAGGCCAGTGCAGTCAGTTTGGCTGTGAGCTCCGAGATCTTAGCTCCCCCGCCAGGGATTGGCCTACCGGGGCCCTACCGGGGCACAGCAGTGAAAGAGCCGAGTCTTAATCACTGGACCACCAGGGATGTCCCTCCCTCCAATTCTTTTTTTTTTAAGAATAGCAGAAATATTTTACTAAAACATAAGATTTACAGAAGTTTCCATACAAGCCATACAAAATGGTCACAAGCTTTTTCTTGAACTTCCCTCTAATTCTTGATGTCCTGTCCAGATCAGCTGCTGAAGCCTGGAGACAGAGGGGCTGAAACGGTACTGGCTGGACTCAGGGTGGCTGGAAAGGGATGTGGATGGAGGGGCGTGGGCTCCAAGGCCAAAATCAGAGGCTTAGGAGACCGGGAGGGAGTGTCCTGCCAAGCCGGGGGATTTTCACTCCCTAAGAGAGGAGTCCTGTGTTGTTCATCCTTGGGTGCCCTCCTCAGATCCAGGACAGTGAGCTCTGGGGTGAAGCAGACCGTTCTGCCTCCTCTCCCAGGTTCTCCAACTCCCTGGCTTACTACGGCCTGGCCATGGACCTGCAGAAGTTTGGGCTCAGCATGTACCTGGTACAGGTGCTATTCGGCATCATAGACATCCCAGCCATGCTGGTGGCCACCACCACCATGATTTACGTGGGCCGCCGGGCCACAGTGGCCTCCTTCCTCATCCTGGCCGGGCTCATGGTGATCTCGAACATGTTTGTGCCAGAAGGTGAGCCGCCCGCTTCTGCCTTTGGGGTTGAGGGTTTGAGGGGCAACAGACACTGTGCAGGAACAAGGCTGAGGGATATGCCTCTGGATCTGGGAAGAAAGTGACTATAGACTACTGGAGTTTTTAATAAGCACTAGGACCTAGTGATAGTACCACAGTGGAGAATCTACAAAGGACCTGAGTCTTCGCCCTCAGAACATTTACTGTCTTGCCAGAGAGATTAGAATGATGGATAAGAACACCAGGGCTTCCCTGGTGACTCAGATGGTAAAGAATCTGCCTGCAACGCATGAGACCTGGGTTCAATCCCTGAGTTGGGAAGATCCACTGGAGAGTGGAAGGCTACCCACTCCAGTATTCTTGCCTGGAGAATTCCACGGAGAGAGGAGCCTCGTGGCTATAGTCCGTGGAGTCGCAAAGAGTTGGACACAACTGAGCGACTAACACTGTCACTTTTCACTTCACTAAGAATAGCTAGAGAGGCAGAGGGCTGGCTGGCATGTCCACCTGGAGCCTGGCTAGGCAGTATCTTGAGGGTCTGAACTTCTGCCGACTGGCCCTGAAACAGTGGTTTACAAAGCTGGCTGCAATCATCTCCAGCCTGGAGACCTTTGAAAACTCCCAAAGCCCATGGGCTCCAGGCCTAGGCAACCAGTCTCAAAGAGAGGGACCCAAACCTCAGTATTTAGTCCAGTGATCACAGCAAGAAGCCAGGCTTGCATATCAGAGACCCGAGCAAAGCCAAGGTCAAAACCCCAGTTCTGCCACCACAGCCTTGGGCAGGTTGTTTGACTTCTCTGTGCTTCAGTTCCTCCCCTGAAGAATAGATGGGTGTGTGAGTTAGTCTCTCAGTTAGTCATATCTGACTCTTTGTGACCCCATGGACTGTAGTCCACAAGGCTCCTCTGTCCATGGGATTCTCCAGGCAAGAATACTGGAGTGGGTTGCCATTCTCTAGTCCAGGGGAGATCTTCCAGTCCAGGGACTGAACTGAGGTCTCCTAAATTGCAGGCAAATTGTTCATTGTTTGAGCCACCAGGAAATGGTAGAAGAGATAGATTATTACTATTGAAATTTTGACTTATTTTCTTCCAATCTTTTTTCCTATTCATAGATTTTATACTCGACATAATTGAGATAAATATATACATAATACTATAACAGGATTGTATATGTATATACTGTACATAGTTATCTATATAAAACATATCTCTTTTCACTATTTGTTGTAACACAAATCTGCTTTTCCACATTCATGCAAATGTTTCATGACCATAATTTTTTATACTATTTGGTATTTAACCTTATTGGTGTTTTCCAACTCTAGCTGCACATCAGACCCCCCTGGGGGGGTCTTTTAAAAATATCCAAACTTGAACCAGCCCCAAGAGGCTTTGATGTAATGGAGATGGAGCCAGGCCCAGGTGTGGGTGTTTTATAAAATCTCCTCTCCTGATTCCAGTGTGCAGAGGGAGTTGCCCCCAAATCCAGAGGACGTGTCATAATTTCTTTGACCGTCACCCTGATGTTGGGCTTGTCACTGGAATTTTGCTGTTTATAACCAGCTGCGTGACGAATAAAGACGGCAGCAGCAAACTTTCAATGACACTGAGCACTTTGCGCTCACCACGTCACGTCAACCTTCTGACAAGCCTGTGAAGCAGGTGTGGGTATTTTCCTCATTTTCCAGATGAGGCCAGGGAGACTCAGAGAGGTTGAGACCCAGTGGCCAGGTCACCCAGCTGAGTCAGAGCTGGGGTTGGAACCCAGGCCTCAGTCTGCAGCTTGTCCTGCCTCCCCAGAAGGACTGGTGACAGAAGGCAGGAAGGAGGCAGAGGGCAGAGAAGGGCAGTGTGCAGACTTCTGGGTCCCAGGAGGTAGAAAACCCCCATCCTCCCCTCCATGTTCTGCACCCCCAGCCTCTACCCCGGGGCTCTGCCTCCTTTCTCCGTCTGCAAGCTCTGAGCCTCATCCACCCTCCTCCCCAGGAGTCCCTCCCCCTCCAGCCCCACTCTGCTGTGCCTCGCTGCTCCCCTTATGGGCTCTGGGCTCCCCCTGCAACACTGTCCCCCTGTTCCCCAGATATGCAGAGCCTGCGCACGGCCCAGGCGGCACTGGGCAAAGGCTGCCTGGCCAGCTCCTTCATCTGCGTGTACCTGTTCACGGGAGAGCTGTACCCTACGGAGATCAGGTGGGGGCCTGGGGGCAGGTGAGGGGGTACGCAAGGGTGCTGGCCCCGAACTGGGAGGTTCTCACTCCAGGCTGATGCCTGCTGGGTTTGCTGAAGCAGGACCCGATCTCCGTCCTGCTCCGCCCCCAACACCCTGGACCGGCGCGCCCGGCCCTCCGGGCGTCCAGGCCACAGCCGCTAACCCGGGCTCACTGCTCCGACAGGCAGATGGGGATGGGCTTCGCCTCGGTCAACGCCCGGCTCGGGGGCCTGGCGGCGCCGCTACTCACCATGCTCGGGGAGTTCAGCGCCGTCCTGCCGCCCGTGGGTTTCGGGGCCCCCTCGATCCTGGCCGGGCTGGCCGTCTGCTTCCTGGCTGAGACCCGCGACGTGCCCCTGGTGGAGACCATCGAGGCGATGGAGAGGAGGTGAGGGGCCTCTGGGCACAGTCGGGGTGGGCGGCGGAGTCCTCCACGTGCCGCTAACACGTGGTCTGGTGGGGACAACAGAGCCCTAGAGACCAGCGTCCTGCCCGCCTCCATCGTTCCACAGCGAACGGTCAAACGGAAATAAGAAAAACCTACAGATCAGGAAAAATAGGACGAGTTGAAGCGAAATGTGGCAGGGCAGTGGGGTGATGTTTAGCCGGAGGAAGAGGTGCCCCAGTTTGAAGCAGAGACCCGCCCACGTGGTTGTCCGGCGGCTGTCCCTTTTGTCTCTAAGCTTCCTGGCAGCAGAAACGGAAACCCTCGTTGATGACCCTTTTCAGAGAGGACGAGGAACACCAGTTCCTTAGAGAAAAGGAAGATTTTCTCAGCAGCTAGCACTGGAAGACGTGTCTCTAACACATCTTCTCAGAGAGGTCACTGTGTGAGCTGGCAGGGGTGTCCTTGACAATGTTTCTAAAACAAGAGCCGGAGGGGACTCCTGTGGCTTCTTGAGGCATTTCTCACCAACAAGGGCTCCGTGATGAGCCTTAGATTAGGGTGCCAGGAGACCTCTCTGGGTCCAGCTTGACGCCACAGCTGAACCATCTGGGCCCAGGGGCCTGTGTGCGTGTGAACTGTATTTGCATCCCTTTAAAATAACCCCCCATGGAACTTTCAGGAGGTCCAGTGGTTAGAACTCTGCACTTCCACTGCAGGGAGCACAGGTTCAATCCCTGGTTGGGGAACTAAGATCCTACAAGCCTCACCCCTGGGGGGGTCTTTTAAAAATATCCAAACTTGAACCAGCCCCAAGAGGCTTTGATGTAATGGAGATGGAGCCAGGCCCAGGTGTGGGTGTTTTATAAAATCTCCTCTCCTGATTCCAGTGTGCAGAGGGAGTTGCCCCCAAATCCAGAGGACGTGTCATAATTTCTTTGACCGTCACCCTGATGTTGGGCTTGTCACTGGAATTTTGCTGTTTATAACCAGCTGCGTGACGAATAAAGACGGCAGCAGCAAACTTTCAATGACACTGAGCACTTTGCGCTCACCACGTCACGTCAACCTTCTGACAAGCCTGTGAAGCAGGTGCGGGTATTTTCCTCATTTTCCAGATGAGGCCAGGGAGACTCAGAGAGGTTGAGACCCAGTGGCCAGGTCACCCAGCTGAGTCAGAGCTGGGGTTGGAACCCAGGCCTCAGTCTGCAGCTTGTCCTGCCTCCCCAGAAGGACTGGTGACAGAAGGCAGGAAGGAGGCAGAGGGCAGAGAAGGGCAGTGTGCAGACTTCTGGGTCCCAGGAGGTAGAAAACCCCCATCCTCCCCTCCATGTTCTGCACCCCCAGCCTCTACCCCGGGGCTCTGCCTCCTTTCTCCGTCTGCAAGCTCTGAGCCTCATCCACCCTCCTCCCCAGGAGTCCCTCCCCCTCCAGCCCCACTCTGCTGTGCCTCGCTGCTCCCCTTATGGGCTCTGGGCTCCCCCTGCAACACTGTCCCCCTGTTCCCCAGATATGCAGAGCCTGCGCACGGCCCAGGCGGCACTGGGCAAAGGCTGCCTGGCCAGCTCCTTCATCTGCGTGTACCTGTTCACGGGAGAGCTGTACCCTACGGAGATCAGGTGGGGGCCTGGGGGCAGGTGAGGGGGTACGCAAGGGTGCTGGCCCCGAACTGGGAGGTTCTCACTCCAGGCTGATGCCTGCTGGGTTTGCTGAAGCAGGACCCGATCTCCGTCCTGCTCCGCCCCCAACACCCTGGACCGGCGCGCCCGGCCCTCCGGGCGTCCAGGCCACAGCCGCTAACCCGGGCTCACTGCTCCGACAGGCAGATGGGGATGGGCTTCGCCTCGGTCAACGCCCGGCTCGGGGGCCTGGCGGCGCCGCTACTCACCATGCTCGGGGAGTTCAGCGCCGTCCTGCCGCCCGTGGGCTTCGGGGCCCCCTCGATCCTGGCCGGGCTGGCCGTCTGCTTCCTGGCTGAGACCCGCGACGTGCCCCTGGTGGAGACCATCGAGGCGATGGAGAGGAGGTGAGGGGCCTCTGGGCACAGTCGGGGTGGGCGGCGGAGTCCTCCACGTGCCGCTAACACGTGGTCTGGTGGGGACAACAGAGCCCTAGAGACCAGCGTCCTGCCCGCCTCCATCGTTCCACAGCGAACGGTCAAACGGAAATAAGAAAAACCTACAGATCAGGAAAAATAGGACGAGTTGAAGCGAAATGTGGCAGGGCAGTGGGGTGATGTTTAGCCGGAGGAAGAGGTGCCCCAGTTTGAAGCAGAGACCCGCCCACGTGGTTGTCCGGCGGCTGTCCCTTTTGTCTCTAAGCTTCCTGGCAGCAGAAACGGAAACCCTCGTTGATGACCCTTTTCAGAGAGGACGAGGAACACCAGTTCCTTAGAGAAAAGGAAGATTTTCTCAGCAGCTAGCACTGGAAGACGTGTCTCTAACACATCTTCTCAGAGAGGTCACTGTGTGAGCTGGCAGGGGTGTCCTTGACAATGTTTCTAAAACAAGAGCCGGAGGGGACTCCTGTGGCTTCTTGAGGCATTTCTCACCAACAAGGGCTCCGTGATGAGCCTTAGATTAGGGTGCCAGGAGACCTCTCTGGGTCCAGCTTGACGCCACAGCTGAACCATCTGGGCCCAGAGGCCTGTGTGCGTGTGAACTGTATTTGCATCCCTTTAAAATAACCCCCCATGGAACTTTCAGGAGGTCCAGTGGTTAGAACTCTGCACTTCCACTGCAGGGAGCACAGGTTCAATCCCTGGTTGGGGAACTAAGATCCTACAAGCCTCATGGGATCCATCACCAAAACCAGAAACATCCCATCTCTACCCTGAGCTGTGGACAAAGTCTGGACTCACATAAATCAAGGATGTAGACCGTGGCAAGTCCTGTCCATTCTACCTCCAAAATATATTTTGAATCTGTCCATCTCTCTCCACTTTCCTGGCCACCATCATCTTTCATCTGGACAATCACAAAAACTTCAGATCTTCCCCTGCCCCTCTCCTGTTTCCTCTCTACACAGGCGCTGGTGTGAAGGACTTATCCTGTAAGTAGAATCACAGCATTTCTCTCCTCATAACCCTTCCTTGGCTCTTTTTTCATTGAGGGTAAAAATTGAAACCTTACAAAACTCTCGGGACCTGGTTCCAGCCCACCCTCCCATGGTTGACCCCTGCCCACCACCCAGGGGTCCCTAGGTGGAATGCTCTTCCTTCTGCTCTTAGCCCCTACTCATCCCACAGAACAGATGTAGGTCCAGGTGTCCCAGGGGCTGGTAAGTATTTGTTAATGACCCAGTCCGGAGTCTGTTCGCATGTGCTCTGAGATGTTGCCTGAGAGCCCCAGGTACTTGGAAGAGAAACTGGAGAGTAGTGTCCTTCCCTAATATGAGAGAGAGAACCACTGCAATGGTCTGGCCTGGGCATTTTTAAAATCAGATGTTGCTTGCCCTGGCTATAGAAAAATCTGAGTAATGCTAAAGGAAATTCTGGTTTTAGGTAATAGGCTTTCCTTTGACCTTGCCAGGAACAATTAATTAGGAAACTACAGTATGTTGTTACTGGCTATGAACCAACTGAATTTGGGGCACCATTTGCCCCAAATAATCTTGATTTTATAGCAACTGACAACAAGCGATTCTTTTTCACAACGATGTGCTGTTTGGGTCTGATCTAGCTGGTGCTGTCAGAAGTCCCCTCCTCCCAGAGGTGAGGAAGAGCTTGTGATAGCCATAGTACGAGAAGTTCTCTAAGGCATGACAAAGTAGCTCCGTATTTTGTATTGCTTTTGTTGTTTATTTTTAAAGTTGTATATCAGTTCAGTTCAGTCACTCAGTCGTGTTTGACTCTTTGCGACCCCATGAACCACAGCACGCCAGGCCTCCCTGTCCATCACCAACTCCCAGAGTCCACCCAAAGCCATGTCCATTGAGTCGGTGATGCCATCCAACCATCTCATCCTCTGTCGTCCCCTTCTCCTCCTGCCCTCAATCTTTCCAATGGGACCGGATGCCATGATCTTAGTTTTCTGAATGTTGAGCTTTAAGCCAACTTTTTAACTCTCCTCTTTCACTTTTATCAAGAGGCTCTTTAGTTCTTCTTCACTTTCTGCCATCAGGGTAGTGTCATCTGCATATCTGAAGTTATTGATATTTCTCCCAGAAATCTTGATTGTTGTTTATAGTTGTATATATAAGTGTGTATGTGTACACACATGCTTGTGTGATTTAGAACAATCTCAAACAGAAGTGCTAGTGTTGGACAAAGAACTTTTTTTTCTGAACCATACGAAGAATGTTGTTGCAATCTCTTTCAAGTACATTCATGTGTAACTTTTCCAAGGGTATTCTCCTGCATGAGCACAATACAGCCACCACAGTCAGAAAGTTAATGTTGCTATGTGACTACCCTTTCACCCTCAGACCTCATTCAAGTCCACCCCAACCATGACCTATTGAGCAGGAGGGTCGGGTTCAGAATCACAAGTGGCATTTAGTTGTCGCATCTCTTTCAGGCTGGAGTAGGTCCTTTGCTCTGACTTCCACTACTCCAGCAATTACACAGGATTTTATAATTGGAAGCACTAATAAGACTCCACAAAGCAAGCTTATTTAAGGTAGTCAGAATATAAAGGATACAATATGGCAGGAGGAAGAAAATATAGGTTAATATCTGAAAGGGCCAGAGCACCTGCCAGGGTCCTCAGAGCCCCCAAAATGCCATTCATTCCCACATCACAAACCATCAGGATGTGGGTCTTGATCTCAGGGAGGCCAAACACAAACTTAATGAAGGGTCTTTTCCATTCCATTGGTCATAGCCCAAACCAGCCTGTGTAATCTGGTAAGCCAGATGCAGACCACAAATCTATAATTTTCAATCAACAGTGTAGACAGGCTGGTAAGAGGCTGCCTCCAAGAGGAGATTTAGACTTGACCAGCATATTATAAATTATAGAAGCTAGTACCTGGTCTTCTTCAGTGACCAGTCCAACAAGTTCTGGACAAGTTCTTGAATGTTCTTGTCCAACCAACATGAGATGGCAACATCTGGACTTGTTCTGCTTTGTTGGGGAAGGGGAGACAAGAGACAGCCTTTCTGGATGAGACAGTCAAGTGGAGTTTCAGACATTTAGACAATAAGAATTCAGAACTTCTCAGCCCCTCTCATTTTTCTGTTTCTAATCTCATCAGATACTTATGAATGTCTGTCACAGGCCTAGGATGTTAAAGATTAAGATGAAAAGAAAATGCCTGTTTCTAAGGTTCAAGTTGCTCATCCTCAAGATCCTTCATTCATCACGAGACCAGATACTGTTTCTGAGAGTATCTGAATGCCTGGTGTGGTCCAGGGCTCAGCCCCAGCTGGGTCTGTGCCCTAGTTTTTTGGAGCGACATAGCAAAGGAGCAGTTGACTAATCCTGTTTAAAAAAAAAAAAAAAGGCCCTTTTATGTAAGAATAGAACATTCACAAAGAAGGAAATGCCAGTAGGAAGTAAATAGAGAAAAAATGTCCATCTCAGTCATAATCAGAGAAATGCAATTAAAACCATATGATGTCCTGTTTTAAATATCCACTAAGGAAACATTTTCAATGCAGGAGATGTACAGGTAGCAAGGAGGAAACTCCTGCAACCTTTCTGGAAGGTTCTTTGGCATTACTACCATGAGTTGGAAAATTTTTCACAAGCTTCTAGGCAGCAATGACATTTCCAAGACTCTGCCCTAAAAAAATTAGCTGAAATGTGGACAAAGTTTATTTACAAGAATATTCATCATCATGTTTAATGTATCAGAAAAAAATGTCAACTCTCCAAATATCCAGCAATTTAAATAAACTATGATACACTGTGCATTAGTTAAATGTTATGTTGATGAGGAGTTTTTAATGGCATGGGGAATGTTTACAATATGCTGTTAAACAGTGTGTTATAATTAGGATATTTCCCTAGTTATGTCAAGAAATAGAGGCTCGAAAGAGAAAAAAAGTATATTAAAATGGTGACAGTGGTTGTCTCAAAGTATAAGTGATATTTTATTTTTTTTCCTGGCTGCTTTATATTTAGCATTTTTTTCCCAAATTATCTGCATTGAGCAGGTTTTCTTTGGTAATCAAAAAGATGAGTCACACAATGAAAAAAATTGTAAGAATCCAATTAGGCCATTTCCCAGACACAGGGCAGTCCCTCTTGGGGCCTAGAAGTAAGCTGAAGCTCCCCTAAGCTTGTGAGGTGTCAGGAAAACTGGAAGAGAGGTAGCCTGGCCTGAGAAAGTGCCAAAGGTCCAACCAGTGACCTTCCATGGAGCTCTTCCCACTGGTGAGGGGCATGGAGAGGTGAGGGGTGGAGAGAAAGGTTCAGCCTTTCAGCAGAGGTCTGGTTTCCACCAAGGCCGAGGGCCAGGCTCTTGGTCAACTAGGACCTCCTGCTGCCTTCCCACCCATGGTGAGCACCAGCTGAATGGCTGACCCAAGCATGTTTTTAATGCTTATCTTGAGAGCATGGAGTCCTAATCACTGTGTGTGTGTATATATATATATATATTTCAGATACTTATATATATATTTTATACTATATTTCAAATACTTAAAAAAAGAAGACCATTCATAATTCCCAGGTGGTCCAGTGGTTAGTACTCCACGCTTTCACTGCTGTGCTCTGGGTTCAATCCCCAGTCAGGGAACTAAGATTCTGCAAGCTGCGAGGCACAGCCAAAAAAAAAAGACTATGGATTACATGACGAGGCTGCCTCTGGTCGTCTTTGCTCATTTTATGAGTTTAAAAAATAACACTGAGCAAGCCTGCCCATTGCAGCAGTTGAATGTGGAGATTGTCTGCTGGGTTTTTAGGAATCATCTTTGAAAGGGAAGAGGATGCTATTAGACAGAACTGGAGAGAACCACCGCTCAGTCCCCACCGCAGGCACTTAGCAGACAAAACCAACAAGCTTCTGTCCCTCGATGACCCTAAGGGACAGAAGTCGGAAAAATGAGGCTTAAATGGCAGAAAAGAGAGATGCAGAACAGTAAAACGAGAAGAAAAATGTTCCTTTGTGATTATGTTAGGGCATGATCACACACACACAAAGGCTTAAACCATTGAACTAAAAGATCAGAAATAGAATAGGTAAGGATTAAAAATAAAAAAAAAAAAACACTGATGAAATGTTTTGAACGTGGAATAAGTTCTAAAAATGGAACCAGCTAAAACTGGACAGGAGAATCTGGCAAGCTATGTGAGTGATTAAGACCAGAAGATAAGAAAAACTAAGTAGAAAAACAAACAGTTCTTAGTCTGTGCAAGAGGAGGATGAAATAAACACAAGGAGGTCAGAGCACAATCATATCAAAGACTGGAGGGGCAAATAGGAAACAGCAGAGCTGGATGTGGTCAGGGACAGGCAGCCCTCCGGCTACTGGGAGGCTATCGCAGTGACCTCCCTCCCCTCGTCCTCCCCTGATTCCTCCCTCCCTGCCTCCTGAGCGACTGACCTCTCCCTGGACCGGGGCCCAGTTCCGGAGTTTCACTGGCGCCCCTGGTCCACAGGCAAGCCCGGCCGCCCAGCAGCAGAAAGTGGGCTGAGCCTCGTGCCCTGTTCACCAGCTCTGTGACCTGGGGTATGCGTCTGGCCTCAGGGCCTCATCCCAAGGTTCTGACTTTGCATCCTTTCCAAGTCTGGCTGATACCAGCCAGGCCAGCCCCTGGCAGCTGTGGACCTCAGGAGAGAGCGAGGGAGTGGACGGGCGGTGGGAGGGCACCCGCTGAGGCTCCTCACAGGGACGAGAGGACAGGTCACCTTCTTTGGGGACTTTGGGACAGCGGAGATAACACCTCCTGTGCGTGGAACAAATATACCCTTGACCACAACGCTCACAACGCCTGCCCCTCATCACCTTTTTATGTCCTTTGTCTTTTCAACAGAGTCAAGGAACGCCTGTCCAGGAAGGATGCAGAAGAGAAGGGTGAAGAAGTTTCTCTTCAGCAGCTGGGAGCCTCGCCCCTCAAGGAAACCATCTAAGCTGCCAGCAGCCTGGCACTTGCTGGCAGCGCCCCAGCCAGTGTCCAGTTTCCTCCCGTTTCTCCAGGCGCTGATGGGGGCAAGACTGGCTGAGGACGAGGGCCACTCTGCAGACCCATGAGAGAGAGCTACCCTGACTGCAAGGCTGAGGCTGCCGGAGAAAACCGGTCAGCAGCAGCCCGGTGGCTTTGTGAATGTGGAGAAAAGAGAAACGGTGCCCAGGGATCAAAGAAGGCACGGTCTTCCTTTCCAGTCCCTGAATCTGCCCCTTAAAAACCTCTCTGTTCATCCTTGTCCCACATGGAAATGCCATGTCTTTGTAGGGTTAAGGTGATATTTCTGCCCCCCCACCCCCACCCCGGTTGTCCCTGGAGCAGCCCCTGCCTGCTGGGTTCCAGAAACTTCAGGACTCATTTGGCATTAACTCTTTCCTGCCTCATATGATTAAAGCGCTTCCCCGGTGTGTGACTTGTATCTTCCCCTGGCAAATGTCTCCCCAGCAATGGGCCTCAGAGACAGTACAGTCTCAACACACAGTTGATGAGTAAATGATACAGCCAGACTCGGACAATGGATAGAGACCTCCACCCATTACTGGCATTCCTAGCAACTCCACTTTGCAGAAATGGGATGTGGTTTGGTTCCCCAGGAGTCAGGCAGAAGATCGAGTCCCTGGTATGACACAGCACCCCTCGGAGCTCAGATCCAATATTAAATATATTTTGAAAGATTAGAGACAAGTTGGAGAAGGCAATGTCAGCCCATCCCAGTGTTCTAGCCTGGAGAATCACATGGACAGAGGAGCCTGGCAGGCTGCAGTCCATAGCGTCAGAAAGAGTTGGACATGACTGAAGTGACTTAGCAGCAGAAATAAGTACAACACAAATTCAAATGCCTTTCCTGATACATTGCATTATTTTTATTAGTAAAAAAAAGAAGTAAATACTAAGACATTATAATGTTTTCAAGGGGTATTTCCATGGAGTATTGGAACAAATATAGAGGTATAGAAATAACCTGTTTCTCTCTCTTCTTTTAAATGATTTTTGCCACTGTTTTTTGAAGTTATAGCAAACTGTAGGTGGCATTCTGGGGGGCTCTGAAGAGCTCTGGTCCTTTATGTCTCAGCACAGAAAGAATTCAGTGAGAGGCAAAGTGATAGATAAGAAGTGATTTGTTAGAACAGGATGATTTTGAGGTTTACGAGTAGGCGGGGGAGAGGATGCCGCCCTGAGAACTTAGAGGGCTACAGTTTTATAGTCAAAAGAAGAGTAGGGAGGGGGAGAAGACCATCTTTGTCTTTCTTGAGTAGACGTCATGCTTCTAACATCAGCTTCTCCTCCAGGTTGAACAGGAGAGTTTGTTGTTGTTTCTACATGGTCAAGTCAGGACTGTAGAAATTATTTCAGGTCTCTGTACAGTGAGTACTTTCCTATAAATTATCATTTTTTATGTGTACAGAGAGTATGTCCTAGGGATCATTAACTTACTGAGTTCACTGGGCAGGACGTGAGTCTCACGCTACCATTGTTTTAGTGTTTTGGAGTATATTTCTTGTTTCTGCTACGTCGTTTTGTTGCTAAGCAAGCCTGCTTGGTTTTGTGGTTAAGCAAACTTGCTTTCTTGTGTAATCATTAACTTAGAGGGGCCTCCCATGTTTTTTTTTTTAATTACAATCCCCTAGTGGGATTAACTATTTCATCACCTACCTTGTCCCTTACTCTCTCCTTAGGAATATGACAGTATGGCAAGTTTGAAAAACAGAGTGAAGCAATCAACCATGATCTCCACCCCACTCCACTCACCCTCATAATCAGTCACCTGTTGCTGCTTTGCACATCATCGCGAAACCTGGTGGCTTAAACAAATGATAAATGTTTATTATTCCTGATGGTTTCTGTGAGTCAGGAATTCAAGAAGGATTCAGCTGGGTGGCTCTAACTCAGGAATTTCATGAGGTTTAGTTCAGTTCAGTTGCTCAGTCGTGTCTGACTCTTTGCAACCCCATGAATCGCAGCACACCAGGGCCTCCCTGTCCATCTCCAACTCCCGGAGTTTACTCAAACTCATGTCTATCGAGTCAGTGATGCCATCCAGCCATCTCATCCTCTGTCGTTCCCTTCTCCTCCTGCCCCCAATCCCTCCCAGCATCAGGGTCTTTTCCAATGAGTCAACTCTTCACATGAGGTGGCCAAAGTACTGGAGTTTCAGTTTCAGCATCAATCCTTCCAATGAACACCCAGGACTGATCTTTAGGATGGACTGGTTGGAGCTCCTTGCAGTCCAAGAGACTCTCTCAAGAGTCTTCTCCAACACCACAGGTCAAAAGCATCAATTTTTCAGTACTCAGCTTTCTTCACAGTCCAACTCTCACATCCATACATGACCACTGGAAAAACCATAGCCTTGACCAGATGGACCTTTGTTGGCAAAGTAATGTCTCTGCTTTTTAATATGCTATCTAGGTTGGTCATAAGTTTCCTTCCAAGGAGTAAATGTCTTTTAATTTCATGGCTGCAATCACCATCTGCAGTGATTTTGGGAGCCCCCCAAAATAAAGTCTGACACTGTTTCCACTGTTTCCCCATCTATTTGCCATGAAATGATGGGACCAGATGCCATGATCTTAGTTTTCTGAATGTTAAGCTTTAAGCCAACTTTTTCACTCTCCTCTTTCACTTTCATGAAGAGGCTTTTTAGTTCCTCTTCACTTTCTGCCATCAGGGTTGTGTCATCTGCATATCTGAGGTTATTGATATTTCTCCTGGCAATCTTGATTCCAGCCTGTGCTTCTTCCAGCCCAGCGTTTGTCATGATGTACTCTGCATATAAGTTAAATAAGCAGGGTGACAATGTAACTGGCATTGGAGGATCCATTTCCAAGGTCATTCACCCACATAGCTGGCAAGTTGGAGCTGGCTGTTGGCGGGAGGCTTCAGTTCCTCTCCCCGAAGGCCTCCACTGGACTGTTGAAGCATTCCCATAATATGGCGACTGGCTTCCTTCATAAGAAGTGATCCAGAATGAATCCAGAATGAATGCCCTTTGTGACCTTAGCCTCAGAAAGCACACACTTCTGCTACATTCTGCTAATCACTCAAGTTAGCCCTGACTCATGCCAGATGAATCTACCTGTGGCCTTGGATATCAGGAGGTGAAGATTTGGGGAGGAGGTCTTGGAGGTTGGCTGCCCCACTCTCCTCCAACACTCTTGGCTGTGGTTTTGGCAGGGTATTTCCTCCCCAGACTTCACCTACCACCTTAAAGCCTTCAGACAGTTATATTATTCAGACATTTTTATCATTTTATCTGTGTGTGTGCACGAAGTCGCTTCAGTCGTGTCTGACTCTTTACAACCTCATGGACTGTAGCCCACCAGGCTCCTCTGTCCATGGGATTCTCCAGGCAAGAATCCTGGAATGGGTTGCCAAGCCCTCCTCAGGGGATCTTCCCGACCCAGGAATCAAACCCACATTTCTCAAGTCTCCTGCATTGGCAGTCAGGTTCTTTACTGCTAGTGCCACCCGGGGAGCAATTCACATGTTGTAAAAATTCAAACTTGAGAGAAAAGTTCTGGAAAAAACGTGAAATTTTCTTCCCTGTACTCTGTCGGTTCCCGTGCTCTCTTCACGGTTAGAGGCAAATTCTTTCAGAATGTTTCTTCTTCTTGTGATCTTGGGCAAGTCACTTGACTACTGTGATTCTCAGTTTCCTCAGCTGTAAATTGAGGGGAGATAAGGCCTACCCAACAGAGTTGTCTTAAAGATTAAATGACATCATATATACAAATAACCTTACCTGGCACCTATCAAACGTTCAGTTAATACCTCTCCTGGCTAAAAGTGAAGGAGTCAGTAACTTGACTGACTGACTGACTGACTGATGGCAGAGCTGTGATTTGAACCTAGGTCTGCATTTCCATTATTCTGGTCATCTGATGTGAACAGCCGACTCACTGGAAAAGTCCCTGATGCTGGCAAAGATTGGGGACAGAAGGAAAAGAGGGCATCAGAGAATGCTGGCTGGATGGCGTCACCAATGCAATGGCCATGAACTTGGGCAAACTTCGGGAGATGGTGATGGACAGGGAGGCCTGGTGTACTGCGGTCCATGGGTCTCAAAGATTCAGACACAATCGAGCAATGGAACAACAACAACTGCATTTCCATAAAACCATTCATTTCCAACTATTTCAAGTACCTATCTGTCCAGTGCTATCAGTTACTAAGTGTGTGAACTTGAGCAAGGCATTTAACATCTTAAAGCTTAGCTTCCTTCATCTGTAAGATGGGGACAACACTCTGTATAAGGGGAAACTGGTTTAGTGAGCAAATAACTCAGCTCTGCAGATGTATGACAGGTGTGCACAGGTATGACCAGAGCTAGAGGCACTTGTCTACTAAGATTCTTCTAGTCTTTAGCAACAGAAACTGACTCTGGCTAAACTGAATCCCAGGGGATGTTTTTCTGGACAGCTGTTGGGTGAATTGATAGACTGGAAGAAAAAGTGAAAGGATCCAAACAGCCCCAGGGCTGCTCAACAAGAGTGCCCCAGCCTTAGTAGACAACCAGGGCCCTGTGGGTGATGGTGCAGCTCTGAGCACCTTCTGTCTCTGATTCCTCACTTACGTTTTCAAATCTTTGGACGGCGTCTGACTTGCTTTGCTTGGTTCTGGTGCATCCTGAACACAAGGATCAGAAAGCTTCAACCAGAATGGGGTATACCCCGCTCAGAGCCATGGGAGAACTGTGGGTCTGACAGCCTGCTGAGTTATAAACTATTTCCTGCGGGAAATGAATGAGAGACCTGAATCTTGATGGAGAAGTTGGCATTGGCCTGGTGGGGAGTGGCGAGGCGGGTGTGGGGTGGAAGGGAGTGGGGAATAGTCCCAGGAAGAAGAAAGGACATAAGTAGAGACAAAGAAGTAAAGACAGTGTGAGGCATATTGGAAGATGCAAGGTGGAATCCTGTGGCTAGATGAGCTCAGAGCAAAGGTAACAAAGCCCCCCACTTTCAGGTGGGAAAATCCAGTCCTTGTGGTTCAAAAGAGGCTGGCTCGGTGGCCAGCCTGACCAATCAGAACACGCCATTTCTTTCTTTTTTTTTTTTCATTTATTTTTATTAGTTGGAGACTAATTACTTTACAATATTGTAGTGGTTTTTGTCATACATTGACGTGAATCAGCCATGGATTTACATGTATTCCCCATCCCGATTCCCCCTCCCACCTCCCTCTCCACCTGATTCCTCTTAGCACCAAGGTTTGGTGCAGGGAGGCCATGTGACCCAAGGAGGGCCAATAAGATTCACTTTATGAAATCCCGACTAGGGTTTGGAGGAAGATATCCTCTGGATCCTGACCCAGGGGGTCTTCAGCAAGAGATCCATGTCCTGGGTGGCAGGCTCTGGAGGCAATCTGCCTGGTTCCAGCTCCTTTACTAACTGTGAAATGT